TAACTCCCTACCTACACTCACCTTTACTGGCTCCATCCCCGCCTCTTCGACCTGTTTGTTTCCTCTCCACCTATCCTCTCCTCTAGCCCTCTTCTATCCGCCTCCCACTCTCTCCCTATTTATTTCAGAACCCCCTTCCCCTCCCCCTTTTCTGATGAAGGGTCTAGGCCCGAAACGTCAGCCTTTCTGCTCCTGTGATGCTGCTTGGCCTGCTGTGTTCATCCAGCCCTGCACCTTGTTGTCTAAAGATGGAGCAAGTTCACTGTGAGGGAAAACTACTAAGAAACACCAAAACAGATAGAAAGAGCTTGTTTAAGAATGTAAAAAAGAAAAAGAGGCAACAGTGAATATTGCCCCCTCAGAGAATGAGGCTAGGGAAGTGATCATGGGAAGCCAAGAAATGACAGAATATTTGAATAAATACTTTGCATCAGCTTTTATGGTAGATGATACTACTAGATTTCCAAATATTAAATAATTAAGGGGCTAAAGTGGTGGTGGGGGTGGGGTGGGGAATAAACACAGTAACTATCTCTAGAGAAAACGTTCTAGATAAACTAATGAAGCTAATGGCTGAAATATTCTTGGACCTGATGAGTTGCATCCTAGGATAGCATAGGAAGTTGCCGCAGTCGATCATTGATGTAATGGTAGTGATTGTGGTAGTAACCATCCAGGCCATCATCAGCACCTTTACAGAGGCATATGAGAACATGGGTCCTGTCCTGAACAAAGACGAAGGTTCTCCACTAACCTGCCCTGGCATTGTGGAGTGAATCCCTGATCGTCAAAGTCCGCAGGGAGACTTTAGAGAATGTTGACCACTTCCAATACCTTGTAATTATCCTGTTGGTCAAAGCATCTATTGATGAAGGGATCAAGCACCGCCTCCAGTGTGCTAGCGCAGCCTTTGGCTGCCTAAGGAAAAGAGTGTTCGAGGACAACAACATCAGATCTGACACCAAGATCAGGGTTTACAGAGCCCTGGTGGTTCCTGCCCTCCCATATGGCTCTAAAAATGGACAGTCACCTGAAGGCACTGAAGCAGTACCACCAATGCTGCCTGCGCAAGATCCTGAAAATCTGCTGGGAAGAAAGTCGCCCCAAAAGCCAGTCTTCTTGACCACTCCAACATCCCCAGCATCAAGGCAGTGACCTCACTTGATCAACTGGATGGACTGGGCATGCTATCCACATGACTTACATAAGACTCCACAAGCAGGTGCCCTACTCCCAGATTCGAAATGGCAGGTGAGCCCCAGGTAGACGCAGGCGCATCAGTGCATCAAGGCCTCACTAGCGAAGTGCAGTATTCCCACAGACACCTGGGAATCACTGGCCCAAGACCTTCCAAAGTAGAGGAGCAGCATCTGGAAAGGCTTCGAGCACCTCAAGACCTGCCGTCGGGAAAAAGGCAAGCCAGGTAAAAACAGTGAAAGGAGAACGTTGCCACACCAACGCCCCAACCACCCCTTTCCATGACCATCTTCTACCCCAAGTGTAACAGACCCTGCAGCAGTCACATCCATCCGTACAGCCACCCATGGACTCATCCTGAGAGTGAAAGAGTGTCATCCTTGTCCGCGAGGGACTGCCAGTGACAAAGATGATGATGATGATGATTGTAGGTAATCGTCCAAGAATCCTTAGATTCAGATAAGTCTCAGGATATTGGAAAACTGCCAATGTAACACACTTAATCAAAAGGGAGAGAGACAAAAAAATTAACAGGCAACTATGGGCCAGTTAGCATAATATCTGTCATTGCAGAAAAGTTTTCAGATACACATAATGTAATCAAACAGAGTCACTGTGGCTTCATA